GCTTACAACACTGAGTTCAGCTGTTAACACTAACACTGAGATTAAAAAAGTGTTAACTCTTGAAACTTAGCTGTTTCCTCTCATAATATATAAATATTCTGCAGGAATTCAAGTTCAGTCACCATTCAGTGTAACACACATTTCTGGAGCATTTGGGACCATTTGACAACATGAGTCATCAGCACCGACCAAAACAACACTTTCCCCTAATTCCAAGCATAAAATCCTTGGCACTAATGCTCTGGATTTATTCACAGAGCTTTCAGCTCCCTTAGTTTGGCATTTTGCACTGTCCACTTTAATATACATCTACATGAGGTTGTTAAGGTCCAGTTGCCCTTTGGAAATTTTAAAAAAATATGTTATTTTTCCAGTATGAGTCTGCTTAAAATGGTTGTGATTGTCCTCCCAGTTGAGGCAACAGACTTGGAAAAGCAGGCAGGAGATGAAGCAGAGGCGGTTTGTGTCCCAGAGACTGGCCAGGAGATGGTGGCAGAGAGCAGCTCTCCCTTACTCCCTTTATCATGGTGATTTTAATTCTCATAGACCCCAAAGTCCTCTGAGCACCTCATTTCACTAAAACACAGCAGTCTCCTGACTTGTGCCATCCACTTACTTTTTATGTTTTAAGATAACATAACAAGCTCAAAACATTGGTTAACATCTGGTTTGTTCAGTCGGACCGGGGCACTTGCATAAACACACTACAGACTGGCTGCACTCAGCTCTCTCACATCTGCTGAAGAACCAAGTATCACGCCATCAGTTTTTGTAGGGATAAAAATCAAACATTTTCTGGAGCCATTATTGCCTAAAATGTTAATGCAGTTTACTTTTTTCAAATGTGATCGATTGCTGGGGGAAAAGTGCCCATAAATTACTAAAGGCAAATACCATTCTATTAGCACTCAGGAGATTTTGCAACATTTGCCAGTCTCTGTTTTACTGGAAAAAAAAATTAATTTGCTGAAAGCCTAGTTTTTTACCTGTCTTTGTCTTTCTCTGTGAAAGAGGGATATTTTTATCAGGAGTCATTTAGGAGATGTAATTCTAATGTATTATAGCTATAGGTTTCAATTAATGTTCTACCTCTCTGTCAGCTTTACATTCCATGTTTTATGAAATCATTAACTATTGTCATGTTTCTATTATGATACTATTAGGAAATAAAGAGATGTATGTAAATGGAGATGTAAAATAAATGTACGACAGTCACCAGGAGCAACATCTGTGCACTATCATACGTGTTTACACTAATTTTCTAAAGATTGTTCCATTCATTACAAAGCATTGTTACTTGCTGTGGCACAACCCTTATTTCCATGCATTTAGGGATTCAAGTAAAGCGAGGGTAAATGAGAGCCTAATCAATACCACTTTTCATTTTGCTTCTAATGTTCTGCCTTTCCCTTTCTTTTCTTCATGAACAAATCCAAAAAAGATCCTGACGTTACAGTCATAAAATGTAATTCTTCTGCAGAAACACAGACAATAATGCTCTCTGTATTCAGGCATATTGCATATTCTAATGGCATTTGGCTAAATTGAGTATGGATTTAACATCAAAGGCTTCATGAATTTTTCAAATGAGATATTAAAGTCAATATTTCAAGTGAAAGATATTTCAATTTAGTTGCATACACAACAATAAAAAACTTCTACAAGGCAGAGGTACTAGTGGCTGTGGCAGTATTAGTTCATTCAGGAAATTATTAGTTTATAAGAAAATCAAACAGAAGGTTGTGATACAGCAATGACACTGAATAAATTACACTCACCGACACATGCTAAACATACTTTATCTCTTGAAGTCCGAAGCAGAACTTGCTACTGGCATGTTCAGTCCTTCAAGCAGGGCTTTATTGGGGGCTATTTTATTTATTCATTTTATAAATTCAAATTGTTCCATCATGATTTGCATTCACAAGCTCAGAAATCTGCTTATTTTCATCTCTGAAATGGCTAGGCCTACTGTATGCAAGAAAAACTCCTGATCTTGTTTATTTTTTAATCTAAGTGTATTTTGCTCCATATTGTCAATGCTTGTGCAATGGTACTTCTGGTTTCACACTGAATTCATTGCACTTTCAGACTCAGCGCCCACAAAAAGTCCACTGAGTTCTGATAACTTCTATGTCCTGGCAAAGATAAAGACTTGCAAACAACACAGCACAGAGTCTGATCATTCCTTTCCTTTCTTATTCCAGGCCCATCGAACGTAGCCAAGCGCCCCTTAACCCGGTGAGATGCTGTGTTATGGTGTCCTGACATATCCCTGAAGAGCACGTGCATTTGTATCCCCTACCATTCCCGGGGCAGCCGGAGGCACTGCACACACAGGCAGTGCAGATTTAGGCAGCTGTGACCACACTGTGCTGCTCTAAGAGCAAATACGTCCTTTGCTCACACACAGGATAACAGCAACTACAAATACATACCACTGAAGATGCAACGATTACTGATTTTATTAGTAATTCTCATATTGCTGAAAATAATTAAGAACCCAACTACTAAGAAATACAGGAATACTGTACTTTTGTATTTCTGCTCCTGCTACCACTACAAATACAAAAAGCTTTGCTCTGCACGTGACATTTCTACAGAAGCCCCCAGCCAATTTTTCCAAGTGCCTTTAAACACAGGTGGGAGGGCAAATCTTTTTGGGTACCAAGGGAAAGTTACACTGATTCAAAACACTGATTATCAGGTAGTTTGGGCCCACAAATTACCACAAAAAACCCCATCCTAAAAGCACTTCCTTGAAACCAGCAGGTTGTTTGTCTCTACAATATTCACCTGAAGTGTTTGCACTTACTGTGAGAGCACTTCAAGGGCTCACATAAAAAACAAAACTGGCACTAACTAAATGTTAAACTACTGGGTCCATCATGGCTGCTGGGCTGATAGCAAATGCTGACTTGTTGTTCAGAACTAAACAAAGGCAGTAGCCTTGCGGGGAACACTTACAGGGACCAAGGCATGATATCTTTCCCCCATTCGAACTCTTCATAATTTGTTTCATATATCCAGTTTGCACCCTTAAAGGCCTTAGTGTCCTATCTGTTTGTTCATCCCTAGAGCCTTTCTGAAGCTCAGTGTTCAAAGTCCTCTAGTGTTTCCATAAAATGGGAAGTGCCACCATCTCAAATGTCATCTTCAGAAACAGTACTCTCAGAAAAAGTATTTCTTGTGGTAAAAAAGGTAAGGTAGAAATTTTGTATTGTTAATAAGATCTAATAATAACTAGAATTATATTTTCAGAATTGCCTCTGGGGCTGGGGAATATGGAATTCCTTTTCTTCTGTTGTAATTTCTGGACATCTTTGAGATCGTTCCAAAAACTACAGTTCACAATTAATGAGTCAGCAGTGCATCCAAAACCTTCCAGTTGAAGTTATTGAAATTTTGATTTTTTTTTAATGGTATGAATAACACTGTTAAGAGGAAAGATTCCCTCATGATCTCTAGTCACTCTGAGAATCCATGTTTAAAGAATGATCCCCTGAACTGAATAATTTCATATTATTCTTCTTGATTTTAGGGATGCACATAAAGTTAAGAGTACTCCTCTTGTGAGATCTACGTCAAAATGATCGCTCAAATCATTCTTCAGAGCACTGCTAAATAAACCAGGAATATTTGTAGCTCAGATCAGGAGACCAAGCTGTAGGAATTGACCTTGGACAAGCAAATGCTATGCCAGTAATAAAGTCATTCATGTATCATGTTGTACATAGCTTTGGTGTTTAATGTAAGTTTCTACTGAAAACATATGAGTAGATTATCCATAGAAACTGAAGAGATTGAGCTACCTCAAACACACATTTGACTCTATTAACTGGTGATAATCTGCACTGATCCACATTGCAATTCCATTGCAGATGCTGCTGACATCAAGATGTATGACAAAGAAACTACAGAAAGAGCATATTTAAACAGGTATTTCACATTAATTCAACCACATATATAGTGAAAAATGTCTTTTATGGGAGTTCAAGTTTTCTACTTTATTCTCTGCAATTTTATGCACATTGTTAGAAATAAGGAGTAATGAAAGTCCAGTTCACAGTCATTTGATTTTCTCTCATTTCCTAGCTTTCTAAAATTTTCTGATTTGCTCTTTAAGTTTCATTTTTGCCATAGTCTAGAGAACGAACTGTAATTAGGTAGTGAGACTGAAACTCATGGCATGGAGAGAGATGGTTACACTTTCAGATGTATCATTTGTACAGATGGAGCAACCACAGCTGCTTTCAGACTTGTTAATACATTCTGTAGGGAGTGAAAGCCTTGAAAAGGATTGTACTTCTGTGCATTTCTCCCCCTCCACACAGCAAATGGAGCTGGCAGTCCACCAAAACTCCAAACATACCGTCCTGCACTGTGTAGAAGAAAGTCTGGCATTTCATTAAGGGCAAAATAATGCTTTTGGGGCATCACATAGGATCATCTGTATTACAGAGGAAGATCCAGAAAGGATGAAGGAAGCAGCCATAATGCTAGGACAGAAAGGTGGGAAATGTGTATATGACTAGGTGAAGAAGCACCAATTCTTTTTCTTTCTATTTGTTATAGGTCAGATCTAAAGTATTATCTCTCCATCTAGGTAGAAATAGGATAAACCAAGACCCTCAACAGATTTTTCAGTCTTTATCTGGGAAACGCACTTTTTATGAAGTGTTAGATGGTTCAGAGCACCTGTGGCACTCCTCTAAGCTAAGGTGAATTTTGTATGCTTTCCCAGAGTGACAAAGCAGGAAATAACTTAAAAAAACACCTTGGTAGAAATCAAAATAAAAGGTTCCATGAAGGTCATCTGAAAAGGCTTAAAGGCAGTCAAAAATCAAACTGTTTACCAGGCACACAAAAATAGGAACAACCTTAGTGCAAAGTATAATAAACAAATTCCTCTAGTAATGTGAACTACACAGATGATTTCTCCATCAACTCTTTCCATCTTTTGAAAGCCACACAGTATCAACGAAGGCAACAGAACTTACCCAAGTTCAGTAGTCCAGCAGTGAGCTCTGTGTGTTAGTCCACCCACCTCCCTGAAAAAAAGAAATGTTACATGTCAGGAACGAGTCCAGTAATTATCTTCTAACACAGGAGCAATGCCAGCAACATTCTGGTAATGGCAGCATTAATGCTAAAAGTTTACATTTTCAAAAGTGAAAACATTTACAGACACAATCTGGATATTTTAACTGTGACAGGCCTCAGCAATCCGATATTGCTCAGCCTTGGGGCCAAGGCGTTAAGCCACTGGTATCTGTCTGCCACCAGAACAGATCTTCTTAGGACTTCTCTAATAAACTCAATAATTAATCCACTAAAATTTGAAGGAGAAAAGCAAGGGTCACACCACTATTAACAAAAAAGAAACAAAGGAAAAACTTACTGATTTTGCAAAAAATACATAATGAAAATATTTTTTACTCTGTGGTAAAACCAGAAAGCAACATAAAGGTGTAATGGTCTGCAGTACTTCTAATTCATTGGACTCATTATAAATCCCCAAATACAGAGAATAACTTTAATGCATTTGCTTGGTCAATTATTTCTCTTACCTGTCAAAACAAAGCCAAACAAATAAACAACAACAACAAAAAAAGGGCAACAATTTCACTTCCACATAGAAAGGACAAAGCATCTACTATATACTTGTAATCAAATTCAGGTTTCTACCAGAAATATAAATAGTACAGATTGGGAAAATAATTAAATAATAAAAGTATTTCATGCAATTCGAAGGAAAATTAGATGACTGTCTGAAAAGGATACAAGTGTACACAATTCATTATATAGAATATAGTAACACTTGGCTAAAACTGGTGTGGAGTTCCTCACATTAATGAGCACAGTCTTCACCCACAAATTAAAAATAAACAAATAAAAAAGATACGAGTATGACCTCACTTACTGGCAGTCGATCAAACTGCAATTTGTCCCAAGAGTTGGGAAGCCACTGCCTCATAACACGTCAAGAACTCTTGCTTATTGAACTGATCTGTATGAAGTCTGATTTTTTTTCTGTCTAAAGCAATTGCTTTTCCTATCAAAACATTTGGGTTTATGTAAATGACAACTTAATGGTTAATTGGAAATACAGCATGGTGTTTAAAGTTGAATCATGCTCACTTAACTTTGGAGTATCCTTGTACCATCACTGAATAAAAGTACATTTCCTTAAGCTGAGGGTTGGACAATACAGCAAACAGTCCCCACTCAGTGCAGTGCTGCTCATATTAATAGCAAACTCGAACAGCTACACAGAACATTCTAAATCTTTAACATACATATATTACCATAACTTTAAAACCAGCAGTTTTCATTAATCATACAATGCTTATTCATTTACAGGCAGTTGATTAAAATACAGATATATAGTCCTGAACATCACAAAAATCGCAGGCACTCAGCCATTCTCTCCAAATAGCGTTTTCTCAGCCTTGTTTCATCACTCAGCTACATATTTCAGATTACAAAAATTGTTAAAGATTCCAGCAGAGAAAAGGACAACAAAGATCCTAAATAAAGACTGAAGGGCATAAATTCTCCGCCACAACAAGGATAAAGCTCCAGGTAGAGAATGCCTAGTTCAATTCCCTCCATCCTACTACTGCAGCATTTCAAACATAATCAAAAGAAACTAATTTGAATTTTTGATAAGGAAAGCCTGAAAATAGCTTGATAAACTATGGATAGACATCTGTAGCTTTAAACTTTTATTTCCACAGAGCCAAACATCTAAAAATGTTTGAAACATGGGGAAATATGCTGGAAACAAAGGTATTTCTTAGAGAAGGGGTCATCAATCTAGAGATCTTAAGTAATTTATTGTCCAAATCTATGTGACTCTTGCATGAGCTGAAAAGAAACAGTTAAGATCCAAAGTACAATTTTATCTCTGACTGATGTCCTCTAAACATGTAATTTACTCAGGGGTTGTAGCTCAATCTAAAGATACAATATTTGAATATTTTTCAGAAGGGGTGCAATGGCTGTATCATTAAGCTTCTTATAAGTAGGCAAAAATTGGCAGCACGGCAGCTTTGAGAGGTGGTTGAGGCAGGCAGAGACTTCCAGTTTGCAGGAATGACTTGTATTTCTGAAATGTATATGAAGGATAAGAAAGAAGCTATTGTAGATTTTTACCATCAGCTTGTGAGAGCTTGAAGAAGAGAAAGATTTCAGAACGCACAGACCAGGAGTTTTGGGCAAAGAATGAAGGGGACAAAGGTTGAGATGAAGGCTTTTAGATTACCTTGCATTATTTTGTTCTTCATTCTCTTTATAAAAGGCATTTCTCCCACAGCAAAGTATTCTTTTCATTTACAGAATATCTTTCCACACTTTTTTCTTGGGATTTTTTTTTAAATTGGTACCTCTGATAGTCAGTATTATTTACTGAATATATAATGGCACAAATACTAAATGCATACTTTGTTAGTTATGAAATTACAGCTGCCTATTTCATGGGTTCATTTTTAAAACATTATTTTCCTACAAGAAAATCTGGCTAACAATAAAATAATGGACTAGCAAAGGTACTTCTTACATTGAGTCTTTAAAAGTCAATGCTGTACTTTATAATTTCTATAAAGATTTCACAAACTCTTGAGCATATACCTTATGACTATTGCTGCACTTATCCATACAGACAGCTGGGAAAAAAAATCAAGATAGGCTGATATATAGGACAATTTGCAGATACAATTTTCAGCTAGACTGAAGCAGATTTGATTATAAAAGATGGGGTTGAAGACACCTTGGTTTTTTTAAGTTCTTTTCTCCTATAAGGTACTTGGATAGCCATAAAATGTTTTCAATAAAGAAAAATCCTCATGTGTAAAGGTAACATTCTGGAAATGTGTTTAGAATATTTTGTGACGGAATACCTAAAAAGCTGTCTCACTACCAAAAGCTCCTTCCAGTCTTTTTTTTCTCTATATCAAGTGCCACTGCTATTCAGTGACACCCTTACCCTTTGGGCGTGATACAACTTCCAGTGAAACCTGTTTACAGCCTTAGTGGCCTCTGCATCAGAAGCCCCTTCACTTCTTATCCTGTACCATTAGACCCAAGTGGCAAAGGCAGCAGATGACATCACTGCCTTGTCTGGTAAGTGTTTGTATTTTAAAAAAACACAAACCCAACAGCATTTCATACCATGGAAATAATTATAATAATATTGTGCTATTATCTACATAGACAATGCTGACCCACAAAAATAGAAATTTAGAATTTATCTTTCATCCATATTCCACTTTTAACAAATAGAAATGTAATTTGTTCATTTATAAATTGAAAAGCAGAATACAGTGTCTGTCCATTATCTGCCTGATAAACTCATTCCAATGAAACAACTGACAACAAATAATACAAATAACACATGAAAGATCCCAGGGAAAATCAGGTACTGCATACCTAATTCTGTTGGGGATGCAGTTCTGTGTAGCAAGAGCTACACAGTGTACCAATCTTTTACAGAATGGGTTAGTATTTCTAAAGCACTGTAAGGAGCCTTGCACACCATCCGACAGGATTAGTTATTATTCCTCTAATACTCGTTGTCTACCGGTGCATACATACAGGACTCAATAAGCTACATGTTTATAATTATAATTTATGTACATATTTCCAAAACTTTTCTTGAAGAATGGCATTTTGCTGTGAACTGAATGCAGAATCAGGAACCAAGAGCTGCTCTGTTCTAACCTTTGCTCCAGTAACAGGTTCTCAAGTCTGCAGCCTTCAGCAAGCCACCTCCTGCATTTGTAAAATGAAGATATAAACACCCGCTTGCTTACCTAGGGAAGGGTACTGGACAACTATTCAGTCTTCACAACCAAAAGCCAAGTCTGACAAATTCGCAGTGTATCTGGCATGGAAGTTTTGCAGAGTGCTCTGCGACCCCAGTGTCGCCTTGGCACCCTATTGCATTTGCTCTGTAAGTTTTCCAGGGCAAGTTTAAGTCTCTGTTTGACCTCCAAACCTGTAGACAGTTCTGGCTGGTAATCCTATAACCACAGAACTTGTCCCCCTGACTTCAGGAGGATTAATTAGATGCCTAAAGGTAAGGAAATAAACAAATGTTTGTGGAGTGAGGGCTATGTTTGGTGAAGGGCCAATTTTCCCGATTGATAATGTATAAATAAAAATCATGCCTAATTTGCTTCCATTACTAATGCTTTATATAATATATAATTGGAAGCAAATTACATGCTTTATTTGAAATTGTTTACATACAAATCTTATTTTCTTTAAAAGTAGAAATCAACAGCCATTTCTCTCACACATTTTACAAAGACGGAGCATAAGAAGCTTTTTATTTTATCTCTTTATGTACTGAACTTAAACATTTGATATAACACTACCCAACAGAAATAAAATCAAACAAATAATAATCAAAAATAATCTCAAATGTTTATTAATCTAAGGCATTTTCATATTTGATGCACACACAAGAATTTCAAAGTACTTTTAAAAAACTACTTGTATTCTTCATACAAATTACAAGAAAAGGACACATGCAACTGAGAATGTTATTAAATAATATATATAGTTAACATTACTTTTGTTAAATTGTCACCATATTCCTCCGAATAACTTGAGGGTTTCTATTCAAAAGCAAGTCTCACAGATAGCAGTTAAAGACTCCTTTTCTCAAAGATAACTCAGCAAAAAATATTGCTGATTGATGGCAGAGTGCTAAAACCTTAAATTTGTGAAACAAGACACAGGTCATCAGCAGGAGTTCACACAAATGGAACTACACTGTTTTCACATCAAGGTTTAGAATACCCTGATTTTCTTAAGTCTCTTGGTTCTCTCTCAGCCTCACTCCTCAACTAACAGATGTGGATATCACTGTGGGTCTATCACAACTTAAAGCATAATTACTTGTTTGTTAAACTAGTGTGTGCAAAAGCAGAGTTACTACCATCGATCACATCCTCTGTTTTCTTGCAAGAACCGTGACACCACAACCCTGTGGAAGGACACATGAATAAAAGAGACTTTTTATGAGCTATGCAGTGAAAACAAA